AGTGCCGCGTGTGGGGGAAGAGGAGGGCGAGCCTGTTCGTGAATGGCAGAGGGGACGCGGGAGCTAGGACTTCGATCGAGCCACGGGATTGAGTGGGGAGAGAGGTTAGCGTGGTTTAGGTGAAATAAGGTTAAGGATTAAAATTAATATTATAAGTAATAATATAAATATAAAAGAATTTAATATTTCAAAAAATAAGAATTTGATTTGTACATTTTTTTATTCGTGCGTCACGGCATAACAAAATGGATGTCCTTTTTAGTTAATTTTGACGTTTCAGACACGTTGGCGTGATATGTTTCATCGTCGGAGGTTATTTTGACGAATTCATCGATTTGTGTGCAATTTGCTCGTGTTCGGAAATTATAGCAATATGGATGTCTTTTCTTGCTAAAATTGATGTCCAGGACATGTTGGCGTAGTCCATTTTGTCGTCAGAGGTCGTCCGGAGAAGTTCGCATTTTCATCCATCCTTTAAGCTCGATTCTAGTCCGATCTTGTACAACTTAGTGAATTTTGTGCATTTTGTGTGTGTGTGTGTGAAGATAAAGTCTAAAAATATTTTTCTAGGGCTTGAGATCCTATTGGAACTTCTCCTTGAGTCTCCACATGATAGCCCTTAACCACTCGACCATACGACGATGGTTTTGAGATCATCAATGCGAGACATCACAAGAGAAATAGGAAGTGACTGAAATTTCTAAGGGGATGGATTCCAATAATAGTTTTCTAAGATAGTCAATAGGAACCCCTAGAGCTAAATCCTAGGATCCTAAAGAAAAGAGTAATGACCTCAAAATGAGATCAACAGCAGACCACTTAAATTCTTATCTATTTATATATTTAACACCTAAACTTAATTTTTTACATATATGCCACCTTACCCACGATGAAAAAGTGTATTTCATGTTTTAAAGGTATATTTTATGTGACACGAAAGATCCGGGTGGTATATATTAAAAAAAAAACAAAGTTTAGGTATTAGGCATGTAAATACATAAGAATTAGGTGGTATGTATGTAAATTGCATGTATTCCATATGAGATTAGGTAAAATACCTGCAAAATGTCAAAAACCTTTTCTGCGATATACTTTTGGTTGGATGAAGCGCCCTTTTGCTGTAGTTTATCTGGATGAAGGCACAACAACGCCTTCTGGTATGCTTTCCTCACGGATGCTCCTTCTATTATATTCACCAGTGGAACCTGTTTCCATCCACTCTCTGGCCAAAGAACCTTAAAAAAATAATAACAACATAATAATCTGCATCAAAGTTTGAAAGAAAGTCAACGCAAAACATGCAATAGGAAAAAGTTTAACTAGGTAAAAAAAAGGGACAATGATTAAGTAATTACGCATATAACACCCAAAGTTTCATATTTGCACTTACAACACCTTGGTGTCATAAACCTATGCAAGAAAAAGATCTATTTCACTTTTAAAAAGTGATATTTTTTAGGTGATTTTAACGATTCGAGTGCTGTGTGTGTACAAATGAAATCCCAGATGTGAGATGTGTAAATACATAAGAGTTGTGTGCGATGTATGTAAATGCCCCTTTATAAAGGTTATTAGTCCAGGATAGAACAAGCTCTACTTTGTAAGTTGTTGACCGTATTTCCCTACGACTATGATCAAGCGAGACTACAATAGGAAACAACCCTGAAAACACAATCAAGGATTTCATCATTTTCTAGAAGATCATGCTTGACAAAGGTGTGTCACAGGACTCCTTTAGGCAGGGATAGTTCTCACGGGTTATGAAAAACTTTATTCAGAGGTTACCTATGGAGTTAGCCTTTACACGTTTAACGAAAAACTTGCGCTAGCCTAATATTTATAATTGTTTTGGATGAATGGGAGAATTTTAGGCACAATGAAGTTGTTGTAGCACCTGATCAACCAGAACCGATCAAAGTTTCATTATGTTTTAGTAAAGCTGAAAATTTTGGACAACTCTAATGTATTTACATATCCAACAACTAAATTTTTAAATTTACAAGCAAAACACTCAAATCCTTCACATCACATAAAAAATGACACCATTTTTTTACATTTTGAAAGTGAAATACTCATGTTCTTGCATACATTTAAGATACAAAATGCTATAAATGTGTATATCAAACTTTAGGTGTTAGATTTGTAAAGACATAAGAATTAGGTGCATGTATGTAAATTTCCCTTTAATTCATCAATTCGGCGGTTAAAAAAACATTCATGAGAAAAAGACTGGTGACAACAAATTGTTGCATATATTGTAAAAAAAAAAAAGAAATAAACAGAAATAAACAGAATAATTCCCCAAATAATTCCCCAAGTATTCATGCATTGTAGACATTTGATGACAGGAGAAAATTCTAATTTTTAAAATATTATCAGATGCAGGCTTTGAATGTGCCACACAGGACACTTCGCATAAAAAGAGTGATATGTATTTCACTAATGTTAACAATGACAGGAGAAATCATTTTAGTTGCTAAAAACATAGGAGGGCTTACAAGTTGTAAGGTTGAGAGCAGTGATCTAATATTTCCTTCCTTCCCTCTTGACCACTGCCGTATCTTAGCATCCAAGTCCTGGAGCAAAAGCAGATAATTACAAGTCATTGGAATAACACTTCCTCAAACAAAACCAAAATGGGTATATTTGTAAATGAATTGTCACTTTAATCTGGTCTTGTTGTGGACTATTTTGTACCGCTTCAGTCTGGTTTACCATCAACTGTTGTACCTGCATGGAAACAAAATATAATAAGAAGATTTACATACATGTAGTTACATGTCTAACATCTAAGCTTCAGCTTTTACATGCATGCCACCATATCTAAGCATGAAAAGGTGTGTTTTACTTTTAACAAGTTAAAATGGTGGTATTTTTTATGTGATATGAAAAAGATTGGAGTGGTAAAAATATAAAAAGTTTAGATGATAGATATAAATACATAGGTATTGAGTGGTATGTGTGTAGATGCTCCGATATATTAATATACTTCATGGGCTAGTCCATAAAATAATTAATGACACATTTGTACGGGTCTGTAACACAAGGTCGAACAATAGAAGTCATTTGAGTTTAGTTGTGAAATCAAGCATACATTTTTCAAGGCGATAACCTGTAAAGTACTGATCACTTCTCGGTCACAATTATGATGCTGAAATTAAAAAAAAAAACTATTAGATATCTTGTGGAATTAGTAGAGAACCGTTAAATATGACAAATTTGTCATGCAAATTTCCTCTCAAAATCATTGTCAACTGACTTCAATGACATGTAGTGACCGTTGTAGATCTCATATTACTTCTCTACTTCTCTATTAGGCATATTGACTAAGGTTTGAGGCTTTGGTTTGATACAAACATTGTAATTTAAGGGTTTTTAATATTACAGTCATAGTGCACAGATTCTAGAAGCGTGAAGCTTTTACTTTGTGATCCGAAGTATTCATTGAAGGATTCATCAACTACATCAAAGTTTGGCATACTGCAACAATTTGGAATACCAAAACACTGGATGCCAATGAATTTACTCATTATCAGACGATGTTTAAGGGAAGATTTACATTTGTTGAGAAGAGGAGATTAAATTTAAATAATTGTTAAGTACCTGGATAAACTAGAAGCTTAGCATAAATAGATGAAAGATTTATGTTTACAAAATCATTTGAAGTCAACAGCTGAAATCAGACGTCCAAAGAATATATCTACGGAGAAAATCAAATATGTTGGTATGGACCATAAAAGTTCCGATTTTTATGGAGGAAACAAAGACATGAACTAAAGTGCAATATATCTCAATTTGCTTGAGCTAGTGCCGATGGACCAAATTAGATCAATTAGCATCTGGATAAAGTCTTTTGGATCAAACAACATCTAAGAATGATTTGATCAATCAAATATGATGTCAAATGAGGCTTAACCGAATTGGACCGATCTGACCATTTGTTATCCTTAAGTGCGCGTACAACTTACAAGGAAGAGCTTCTGGACGACCCTACGGAGTAAATGTCGTATGCCACCAAGGGATCAACAAACCAATGCCTATGGCAGCGATATCTGGCAAGGAGATGGTTAGTGGCCTCCATTCACACATAAATATCTTCATTTGGTCACAATAATACCCAAAATTTAGATATTTGGGATTGTGTGTCATTTACATTATTAACTCAATGTAACTCATTTGTCTTGAAACACTCCCAAAAAGATGAAAAATAATACACAAACATTCTTCATCAACATTAGTAATGTTTTAGCATAACCTGCATGAGGTGGTGACCAACCTCGATCGAACAAGAATAATAGCCTTTTTAACTGCCCTAAATACCACCATTAATATCATTCTTGAGTGACAATGTAAGTCATATATCATCCCATATTAATATGCAGTAGCCCATTGTCTCGCTATGAAGAAGAAATTGTGCAAAATTATTTTATCTGGATTTGCATAAAGAATTACCAATTATAATTGCAAAACGGTATTAAGTTTGAAGACTGGCAACTCTGGTATAAAAGTTTAGCCCTGAATACCCATGTCTAAATAATCTTCTTCCTTAAAATGCACTGAAAAAAATATAGCTTTGATAATAGCTGTAAGAAGTTTGCTTGACCGTTTTCAAAAAGACTCATGACATACAAAAGCGTCGTAGTATGATAAATTGATAGAATGCAGGAAATAAATTTAAAAAATTGAAAATTGGCATACCAGATACGCCTCAAAATCTTCAAGAATATTCTCCTCATGTAATACTGCATCACCAAGGACTTCGGAAAGTGGATCTGAAATTCAACACTGGGCATAAGAAGGCATATTTACAATATCAAACACAACATATTGAAAAGTAAAAAAACAAGTAAATGCAGGATAATGATCAGTCTAAAAGTCTTCTTTAAGGATGTATTATGTATATATATATTTTTTCTTTGATAATAAAGACAATTGATGACTTTTATCTTTGCCTGGATGCCTTTGCATTAACATTTGGATTATTTGGTCGTTAGTTTTAATAGCTTTTACTCTAAGAGAGCTAAGGCAACTTATGATTAGCTAATTCTTGTAAAATTAAATAATAATTAGTAGTGTTTCCTTCTCCCTTCCAAGGTTTTCATTCACCCTCCCCCATCTTTTGAAACCTTGTTCTCGTTTTGTGCTAGGCCAACATAATCTCTTCCCATTACAAACTTTAAAACTCGTGATAAATAAACACAAAAAAAGTTCCAGCTGGATTTATTATAAAGGCGCCATAGTGAAGGCCGTGTTAGAAAATGTGGTTAAGGAATTGTAACAATTCTTTGAACAAGTTCTGCAAGTGTACCTTAAAGTTCATTGAAGAATTGCTACTATGTCCAGTTTAGGGATCAACCAAACTGAAGAGATCCATGCAGACAAACCTTTCCATCAAGTTTTTCAAACACTTTAAGAGGGCCCATTCATACCATCATCATCATTACGACCATCATCATCCTAAGAATAATTGTGTGATAAAAATTTATGGAGGTAGAGTAAGGGTTTCTTGTCTTAGTGTTGCACAAAAATTTACACACAAAAATAAGACAAGTTCACCGAAGATGCCAAAGTTTTTAAATATGAATGAGAAAAAACCCCGATGCCTATTTCACTATATTTCTATTTCACTATATTCGTAAAATTACGTAAGTCCATTCTTTCTCTCAATTGGAAAACATAAGATTAGAAAGTTTGGATTGGTATTTTGAGATTGGCATTTTGACATCTTATGAATATGGTTAAGAGTAGTGGTAAAGCAAGTAAGGGTGATGATGGTGGTTAGAAAATTGACATCACTTGAAAGAAGTCTGCATTGCCAATAAATGGTGCTGACCAAAAGACAACCCTTGGGTGACAACAGTCGTGGGATAAAAGATGGATGGCAGTAATCGCATGAAGGAAATTGAGTGATAGAGATGGATTGATGATGTTGCCAATAATGATTGCAGGCGTCAATCGGCTTTGAGTTCATCAAATTTTTAATCTTCCACAAATTTTAAGTTCATTTCATTTAGAGAATAATGGTCCACTTATAATTTTTTTTAGTGCTATTTTGATAATCTTGGTCAAAGTCCCTAAAAACTCCATCAAACACCCCAAATTGATTCCTTTATCATAGATCTTTTTCTATCGAATAGTACCATAAAATTTAAGTTTTCATGAGCTCATTAGATCCCGCTCATCAAAATACTAACTTTTTCATAATCATGCAAGATTGAGAGATCGTTTAGACTTATTCTATCAAATAGTACCATAAAATTTTCAATGCTTAAAGTGCTTGATTTAAGCTTGTTGAATTCAAATCAGATCACGGCTAGCATCCTTGGACTCATCTCATCAAAATATTTTTTTGGACTATAAGTTTGCTAAAATCGAAGTTCGGATGGTTTAAAATTTAATTTCAAAATTTATGCATTGAATTCATATCAAATCACGACTGGTATCGAGATTTGTGATTGATCAAATAAATTGTCTAAAAACATATCATTTGTCCATTATTTTCAAAAGTCAAAATCTATGTAGTACAAAAATAAATTTGAACTTTAAATAATCACAACACAACAATAAAAAAAAAAAATTTATGAGGTGCAACCACAAATTGGACATTAATGTAAATTTTCCCTCAATGTGACAAACAAAGTCTCACATTAATTGTAATTTTAACCTTCCTTAAAGTTGCCACATCTATTAAAATAAAATTTATCCCAAAAGAAAAAGCTTAAGAAACTTTAAAATTCCTTGAAATGGCTGTAGAGGCTCAACACTTTAAAAGTGTCAAAATTGAAGAGCCCTATAAATGCAGAGAAAGACCTATCCAGACCTACTTTTTAGCCTGAACTTGAGTGAGTGGTCGAACTATCATGGCAAACATTGCTACCAGCGTACTAGACACACCGCTTAAGTGCATAGTTTACCCCTTTTATCAAAAAAATAAACCTTTTTAATAAAGTATTTTATAGAGACTTAACGCTAAAGAAATTGTTGAAATTTTTTAAAATAATTTTTTTTAATTTTTGTAAAACTATTAAAAAAATCTCATTTTCATTTCTCGACCTAACCGATGGGGTAAGGGGAGATGTTAGTTCTCCCTATGTAGAATCTAACTCTACTTTATAAGAGGTATGATACAGCCATATATAAAAAAATTTGTTAGTTCCCCTTTACAAGCTCCAGTTCTACTCTTTAACAAGGCATAACACAATTCTTTATAAATGAAACTCAGGTGACAATCAAGGTTCGCAATTCTTATGGCGGGCCTTCAGTCTTCCTCTTGAAAGGGGATTGACTGTCACCATTTAGGAGAAATGGATCTAAGGAGAAAAATTGTAAATGGTGGCCAAAATTTGCAATCACTAAATGATAGCATCTTAATCTCCTCTAAAAGGAGGTTAATTGTCTATGTTTAAATAAATTAAATCCAGGGAAATTTTTTTTACATCATTTTGAGGCTCTAGTTATTCTCTATGAGTTATTTGTCCTCAAAATATAGTGATTGATACAGCAATGTGCTCTTGACGTGGCAATGCAAAAAGGATAATGAAGATAGTTCACTTACCAAAAAAAGGTGTAATTCATACAAGAACCTGAATTCTCGGTTTTTTAATGAGTTCCAAGCATGTCTCTGCACTATGTCTAAAAACAGAAATTTATATGCATGACGGACAATTCTTATGTACTTACATATCTAACACCTAAACTTTATTATTTACATCTATAATGCTTTGGTGTTATAAGGCTATGCATAAAAAGTTGTATTTCACTTGTAAAAAGTTAGCAATAGTGGTCTTTTTGATGTGATGTTAAGATTTGAGTGTTATTCATGTAAGTAATAAAGTTTAGGTGTTAGATCTGTAAATATATATGTGTGGTATGTATGTAAATGCCCCTTCTAGAAATTTCGGTATGATAGTTTTGTTAACTGATCATTTATGTATATGCTATTCTAAAATTTTTCACAAAATTGTAGCCGTTCTATTTTTGGCAGAATTTTTATTTTCAAATGTCTTGGAGTAGAGATTTTTAATGTTCCGACTTCAATGAATTTCGACAATGAAATTAGTTGTAATAAAAAAAAATTTCTTTTGTGAATAAAATAATATTTTTAGCCTCATAAAGTTTTTCATGTATATTGACCTTACTTTTAGTGAGATCAACCCATTTCCCTCTCTTAGTTTATAGGATCTAGCTCTCTCACCAAACCCTTAGTGGACATTTTTAGTGAATATGTGGACCCTTCAACCCTAAAACACCAAAACTCAACCCAAAGCCTTAGGACCCACCTTACAAGCCTTTAGATCCAATCTTAACTCACCTCAAGTCAGGTTGACTTAGTTGATCCAATTTGACTTAATCAACCCTTGGCGCCCATGTGAGGACCACTAAAACAATTGAACTCAACACTTAAATATTTGATTTCTAACGAACTTAACTAGTTTATAAGCCATTTATCATCTTTTTTCCAAATAAAATTCTCTTCATTTCTTTATTTACTTAAGCTGTAGAAGTAATCCTCTTCTCATTCGATGTTTAAAAGCATATGGTATCAAACTATAAATCATTCGCTCACTTTTCAACTTTAAAAATCTGACAAATTCTATAACTTGAGAATGATATAAAATTAAAACTTTTCAAGTCATGTTAAGCCAGTGTAAGAGTCAAATAGCATAAGAAAAAATAAATACCATATCTATAATGTATTAATTTGAATAAGCTTTCTTTGGAATAGTTGGCAATAGAATGATATGGCTTGTGACTACTAAGGCTCCATTTGGTGGAGCTTCGGTTGTTTTTAAATTTTGTTCAATTGTTTTTTTTCAGAAAGCCATGTTTGAAAGTTATATGGAAAAGGTGGCGGCTTGTAAAAAAACGGAGGTTTCTCAAAAGTATTTCCATAAAAGTGTTGCAGCCAAAAAGGGGAGGAGTATAAAATAGAAACCAACCAGATTGTGGAGGTAAGACTTCAATCGTTTTTTCTGAAGGATGACCATCACAAGAAATGCCGGACTTATCTTCCTCTGCTTTTTCCATACCTTGATTTTCCTGAAACAATTTGAATTTTACAAAGGAATCTTAGCTTCATGGATTATAGTTAAATGGAATGAGTATTGATTTAAATAAAAAATGTATTGATATGCATTACATATGAGTCAAAACTACAATAATTTAAAACATGTAGATGACATACAATGGCATTAGGAAAGTCAAATAATGATACGTTCTTATTCCCACTTTTCCCCTGCGATTTATCCTCCCCGATAGTGGAGACATGGGCCGCTTCAACAACTTTGTTTAGTTTGTTCTCTTCACCTTTAGACCTACGAACTAACATTTCAAAAGCACCTTTTCTTTTGGGGGAGCCATCCTGATTGAATTTTTTTATGAATTCTTTAACTTTCCCCTTAACTTTGCCTCCTTGTGTTTTAACTTCTGAAAAGGTGGGAGTATCATGCAATGTGGTACAATTTACTTCACAAGAAACTAGCCTACTTTCCATTTGACGCTGCTGCTTTTTCTGACTTTTTGAATGCGCTTCCCTTTCTTTAACATGTCTAGGTATATTATCTCTTCCTAAAAGAAAAAAAAAATAACAGTAACGTTTACTCTATTTGATATGAGATGAAATTAAATTGTGTAGCTACCTATTGACAATACTCACTCTGTTTTTCTATATCATCATCAAACAGCTCACTAAGGCATTTCAACCCATGAATTTGTTCATTCGCAGAACTTGTATTAGAATTTTCGTCAAACCATGGAGCTGAAGTTTTTTCACCCTGATTGCCACATTTGTCTGTCATCATAAACACCCAATACCTGGTTAAGCCTTTTTTAACATTCAAGAATAGTCATATCTTGTTTGGGAAGCACATTAATTAAATGATGGATGAAAACCAAAAAATAAAAGATAGATAACAGTGACCTGTTGTTTTATTTGTATCATCTTTGAGAAGCTCGGGACCAAACTCGATATGTGAAAGGCCTTTAGCAGTAGTTGCTACATAACCGGCTTCCTTCTTGTCTGATTTCTTCACTTGGGTAACAATTTCAGATTCAAAAGCTTTACTAGCAGCAGAGAAATAATCACAGTTGGAAGGTAGCTCAACTTCCTGAACAATAATCTCAGGAAATCTTGCGAGTCTTCCTTCAAATTCATTTCTTTCTTTAGAATCAGAGGGCATGACAAGCATAACCCCTTTTCCCGCCCATTTGTATATAGAAAAATGAAACTTCTGATTACTGACATAATCCTCTAAGCTGCTTGAATTCTTTTCAGTTTGGCTTTCAACTGTTTGGAAAGCAGGTTCAATGGTGTCTAGCAAAGCTTCAAAGCTCGAAGAACTTCGACGAGATAATGTGCTTTTGCGATAGGAAGAATACCCTTTGTTACTTTGATCTTCATGGCCTACAACTGATTGTGTTGTACCAGTTGAAGAAGCATTAGGAGATAAGGGAAAATTGAAAGCATCAGTTCGATCATCCTCATTTCTAAAAACAGACTGCTGGGTTTGGGAACTGAATGATGGATGGGTCAAACCTTTATCCATCTTTTCTGATAAACTGATAATTACATAGTCATGATCAAAACTTAAAAGGGAGAAAATAGTAAAAGATGAATTCTTTCCCCATAATAAATTAAAATATAATGGGAAACAAACAAGCCCTTATTCAAAGCTTGGGATGATAATAAGATAAGTGAATAGACCGGGATTCTATTGTTTAAAATGTTAAAATGAAACAAAATAACTTAATTAATTCAATTTTGACATGCAAACAATCTAATAAATTTAAGTTTGCTTTAGAGAATTCTGTCACACAACATTGAAATCATGGCATAAGATGACAAGAATATGCCTACGAGCGGTTAGTGAAAGTGGAAAAGCATGAAAAATGCATGCTTTCTTCCTCAAATACTATTTCAAAGATTGTAAATGCATGAAGGTTTCTTACTAATTAATAAAAAGTTACAATTTGAACAAACTAAATATAAAAGCTGGTGGAGCATTGAACAGATAGAATCAAAGTTTCAATTCAAATGATCCAAATTTTGAACTTAGTGTAGTGTAAAATTTTAACAAGAACATTTCGAGGAACAAAAACTACTTCATGGTGTAATGGGTAGTGAGTATTAGGTTGTTAGTAGGTTATTAGTGAGTCTTTATGTTTTCTTGTAGGATATAAATAAGCCTTTTAGGATGACTTTGGGCATCATGAAAATAGCAAAATGAAATCCATGAGCTCTAGCTCAAATCCCTTCTCCCTCTTTACCAAGAGCTTGAGACACGCAACAAATTGCCTAGTTATCTCTTTTAATGCAATAGTTTTACCTTTTTTGCGATTTTCCGGGTTTTGTTGGTATTAAATGGTTCCTTCATTAACCTCTCCATCAGATGCCTCACCAGTGCCACAATTTTCACCTCCCTTTCCCGTCGCATCAATATTGATTGCCTAATATCTACCAACCTGACATGAAAACAGTGTTTTGCATCCTCAACAATTATTGCCTCGACATCTACCCATAGTTACTGAATCTGAGGCACCAAGTGCGTCTCACACAGATTCTTATCTACTGCCCCATTCGCCAAATATACAGACATTGTCATATCCAAGCTCTCTCCATTGCTAGATCCTTCTTCCCCACAGCAACATCATGGCTAGATTCAACTTCTGCAATCCAAATCACAGCCTAATCTACCTTGCTTTTTTCCATTTGCAGCTCATATCCCTGCTATCAAATCCCTTCTTGTCCAAACCGAAATCCAAGCATGCCACCACCTCATATCTGGAACTTATATCAAGACTCATTTCCGCTCATCCACTTGCAGACCCTGCGAACCTTCAACAAGTCACCCAAATCCAATTTATCATCCAAAGATCTCATCAAATTTCCCATTCCCAAGCCTCCCTCGTATTTAATGTCTCTTGCTTCCTCTTGACCATGCCACGATTTACTCAACTTAAGGTTACGGTCGATATGAAGGTGTAGGGGGAATAAATCCCGTGATGAGTATTTCATGAGTATTATGTTGTTATTAGGTTATTAACGAGACTTCATGCTTTCTAGTAGGTTATAAATAATCCTCTTAAGAAGAGTGGGAGCATAACTAAAGCACATATGTGAAATCCTTGAGCTTTGTCTGAAATCTTTCCCCGCCCCCACAGGAGTTGTGGGAATCCTAAAATTACCCAAATCCATTATTCACCTTCTACCAGAAGCTATAGACATATAGGTTAACATCATACTGTCAAAAGCGTTTTTTAGACCAATGGAGATGAAGTTCTGAAGTAGTTTAATCTATTAAATATTGGTTAACATCATACTGTCAAGAGCTAGCAGCTAACAGCAATAACATTTGAAGCAAAGCACCAACCTAGGTCATCTGCCATAAAAGTTTTATGAAAATCAAAAGACAATAAAGTCAATTTCTATAATTGAAAGATCAACAACAATAATGTTTTTTACAAGGTATAACTTCATCTTCCACTAGAACTCTGGAAAGGGGTTATGTTCAATGAAGGAGTAAAATAAGCACTAAACTCTAAAACAAAGAAGAGAAAATTCAGTCAAGCACCTGAACTGTGGGAGCGAGGATACTCCAAACGACGTCGGCCACCTAATCGGCGTTGGCTTATTAGGACTGTTGATCCTTGAGCCCGGAGACGATTGTAAAGCCTCCCGATCACCTCTCCTCGGCGACGAACAGCTAGAATCGCTAGTCTGGAAAATATCACTGTAGAAATCATCTCCCAACTGCCTCCGACCCGACCCACTCCCATGGCCAAACACCGGCTTCTCCCCCGACCCGAGACGCGAGCGGTAACACTCCACGGAGTCCTCCCGTTCTAAACTCGCCCTAGAGCACAAATCAATTGAATCAGCGCGGCTTCGCCGAGATTCGTAGAGCTTCGACCGCCTTGGAGGCCCCCCAAAGACGTCGTGGAAGTCGATGTCCGAGTTCCGGCGCTGCGTGCTCAATACGGCGCCGGAGAAAGGGTCTCGAGGGGCGTAGCCGACGAGGATCCGCTCCCTCTCGGAGATGATTTCCATTAGGTGGGTATCTCTGAACGTCAGCTAAGGTTCCAAGAAGAGGAGAATGAGAGGGTATCTGAAGAGCAGCATGTGGACGGGAAGTGAGGAGAAGATTTCGGGAGAAGATAACGGGAGGTTGAGGGGAGTCTCCCCCATCATCTTCATGGACCCGCAAGCTTTCGGAACGCAGTGGTTTGGCACCGGATGATTCCAAGCTAGAGATGGGTCCCGGAGAAGCTCGGCTTGCGGTCACCTTCCGGCGAGGTGGCGGAGGAGGACATTCGGCGTTGCCAGCTCAGCGACGGTGAGGTTACCGTAGGACGCTTTCAGTTTTTAAGTGGTTATAGTTTCGTGAAATACGCGCGCCATTCATATTGAAGTGTTGGAATATTTGCATTATTTGAAATCCGTGTGATTGAGAATTTTGTTTTTTTAGAATATTTCGCCAATGTATTTTGATAAACATGGTCCGTAAAGTCAATTGGTGTCATTTTCTAATGCTATTATAATTGGGGCATTTGAATACATGTCTCACAATTTATATATAAGGGTTTGTTTTGTGCAGCTTATATATGTGTTCGGCGTTTTCGAATGTCGGGATGGCGTTTGAAAAATATGTTTGAGCCAGCGGTGGAAATACGCGCGTAAGTGTTTATACTATTACCCGTTGCTTCGTTCGTCGTTCCGAGCCCCATGCGTTCCGCGTTTAGGGATAAATTATTACTCCGCTGCTCTCTTCGATCCCGTCTCGTTCCCTTCGATCCCGTCTCGTCGTCGTTGTCCTAGATCTGCGATCAGGCTCTCCTAATCTCGTCTCTGCTCCTCGATTTTGTTTGTGATCGGAATCTTCGATCTCGTGCACCCCTCTACTCGAAATTTCTTTGAAATTTTCGCAGGTATCGTTCGTCTGAAATTTTTTTAACTGTTGGGAAATGTTGTGATCGTTGCGTGGGATCGTTCGTATGAAATTTTTTAAGTGTTGGGAAATGCCTGTGATCTCGTCTCTGCTCCTCGTTCGTCTGAATTTTTTTAACCTGAATTTTTTTCTTCAAAATGTTGCCTGGGATCGTGGTCGAAATTTTTTAGCTGTTGGGAAATGCTGTCATATGAAAGATTTGTTTTTCTTAAAAACGTTGCCTAGGATCCTCATTTTGGCATTGTTGGAATGCAAATATGTTTCTTTTGGGTGAAATGTTGTTTGACTGATCTTTATTTGGCATTGTTGAATGTTGTCATGTGAAAGATCGGTCAAATGTTGTTTGTCTGATCTTTATTTTGGCATTGTTGGACTGCGGTGAAATTTTCTCTATTGTGGCAACTTTTTGAATTGCATATAATCCATAGATGTTCCTTTTGGGTGGGTGATTTTGGCATTGTTGGAATGTGTAGAACAATGCTATACATGGAATAACATATATCACATTGTTGGTTGTAATGAATGCTCTATCAATTACATGCAATAGCTGCAATATGTGGTTGACAGTATTTGTTGCAGTGTCTGGTTTAATAGCTGCATTGGGTGAGCTGCAGAAAGTTGTATTGGTTGATAGTTTTTTCGGGTTAGTTGTCTGTACTGGTTACTAGATGCATAAAGTTGTATTGGCTTTAGAAGTTTGAACTGGTTACTAGCTGCAAAAATTAAAGATGGAAGGTTTTGATGCATCAGCTTGTATTGTTGTTTCCAGTTTTACCAATTTGATAGCTATGTATTGTTGTTTCCGGTTTTGATGCTGAAATTTTTTGGAGTCTTGGATTTAGAAATTTCTGCAGCTTGTTTTTTTGAGAGCATGTTGTAGTAGGCTTACACATTTGAGAGTTTATTTGTAGCTATGTAATCTTACAGATTTGCTTAATAAAACTTTCGTGGATTGTCTTGTGTGGATGTAGGTCATTGGTCGACCCACATAAATCTCTTGTTTACCAATTTTCTTTTTGTTTTTTGTAAATTGGAATGTTGTGAAAATGATGTTGGTTGTCGATGTTTATTTATAATATATTCTTTTAGTTTTAAATTGCAAAATATAATTTCATAAGTTGTGGAATTGATATTGATGAAGTTGGGCTATTTTTTTTACACATTTAGCAAATACTTATTCTCCTTTGTTCTCTAAAGTTCAACGTCTAAGACGTCTGAAGGGGTCCCTCCGCAATGTAGAATAAAGAAGTTATCAATATATTTTGCGATCTATGTATTAAGAAAATTAAACTAGAAAATAGACCAACTATATATTTTAATAATGATGGTTGGCAAAATATTGCTAAGAGGTTTAAAGAATTGATTGGAAGAGATTACTGATACATGTAAAATATATAGTATTTTTAGACACATTTTTATACCTATTTTTTAGATATTGCGCTTTAATGGAAAATATTTTTGTGTTTTTCTTTTAGGTACAGGTAAAAAGGTAAAAAATGCTTAAAGGAGTGAAAAAATGATCAAATTTGGAGCAAATATGTGAAAAATTGGGTAAAAGTGTTTTGGCGTCTAAGCACCAGATCCGACGCTTAAGCGCCGATTAAACAGAGAAGGCCGCACCTAAGCGCCAGTGGCAGTTATTGGATGAGTAAATTTAGTTTTTGTAAATTTTTAAAAAGATTTTGAGGCATCTATTGGCTTAATAGGTGGTTACAACCACCATGGACAAAAATTATTGTGAAAGGATGCATCTCTTTGGGAAATACATCGAATCAAGACATATTTTTAAGAGATACCAAGGCACCTTTTGGAGAATTATAAAAGAAGAAAGATTGAGACTTTGAAAGGGGTCATGAAAGTACTGGGAAAGTTTTGAAAGTTCTAAAATTGGGGAGTTAGTTGGAGAGATTTTCAGGCACCACATATTTATCCTTTTTATTTTAGTTTTATATTAAGAGTGTTGTAAAAGAGGAGATTCAAAGGAACTTCAAGAGTTTGGTGGAGGACTTGAGATAAGTTTTTATCTTTTGTTTTAGACTACTTTTGTTTTTAATTTAAACTTGTCGTTGGTTTGATAATGATTTCTACTTTTAAACTAAAGTGTGGTTTTGTTTTCTCCATGGATTCTTAGTAGTTTTCTTTATCTTTCTTCTTAAAATGATAAGTAAATAAGTGTTGGATGGAAGTTGTGGAGAGTATTGATCTTCGATGTTACTTCTCTTCTTTCTTCTGTAATGTGTACAACCTCTGGTCGATTGACATCTGGAGATGCTGATTGTGGTATTTGTGACTGACCTTGAATTGCGGCCATAGCGGTCATAGCAGTGGTCATTTCTTCTATCTTTTTCTCCAATGAACTAACAAGTTCATCTTTTTGGAGAAGGGCTCTTTGCATTTCTTCAACGACATTTTCATCTCGTGATATCGAGGAAACTCTTGTTTCAACAACATGAATATCCATGA